CCCCCCCTCTTCAAACACCACCTCTAACCTTCTTCTCCCTTTTCTTTCTCCCCCCTCCACAGAGGTGGAAGTGCGACCAAGAGGCCAAGACCCCCGGCGGCACCTGGGGCGGCCTCTCCCCGCGCAAAGAGGATGAAGATCTCAACAACGTGCTGGATTTTATCCTTTCCATGGGCAGCGACAGCTACGGCCAAGGCGCAGCCGGTGGGGACTATCCCCCTGCCCAAGGGGAGAGCAGCAGCTTTTACCAGACAAACCCGTCCCCGGGATGCTACAGTGCCCTGGAGCAGGGCAGCCCCCCACCCTACAACGCCGGCATCGTGCCCGACATGATGCGCTCTGAGATGGACTCCAACTACTGCCCTCCCAGCAATGTCCACGGGCGGTTCTTTGTCACACCTGGCTTTGCAGGCCCGCAGTTTGTTGAGAACATTAAGCCCGAGCCTGACATGGACAATTATGGACCGGTCCTGGGTCTGGTGCCCCAGGCTTGCCCGAAGATCAAGCAGGAGGGCAATGCCACCTGCATGATGGCCTACGAGCAGCCCCGGGTGGCCAGCTCACCCCAGATCCCTGGGGCAGAGACCCCTCCACTGAGCCCTGATGATCTGCTCGTCAATGACTGCCACACGCAGATGATGTGCCCCTCGTCCGTGTCCTTCCAGCAAAGCTACCACCCGGCCTCCAGCTTCCACCACCCCCAGACCCACCTCCAGTACCAGAACACCTCCCAGTTTGGCCTCTTCGAGGACACGCTCCCCTTACAACCCTCAGCTCCCAGAGGCATGCTCACCCCTCCTTCCTCCCCTCTGGAGCTGCTGGACTCCAAACCAAAAAGAGGACGTCGGTCGTGGCCACGGAAGAGGACAGCCACTCACACGTGCACCTACGCAGGCTGCGGGAAGACCTACACCAAGAGTTCACACCTGAAGGCCCACCTCAGGACGCACACAGGTAAATACAGCCGGGTGCTTCAGCCGGGGCTCTGCTGCCTGCCCGTTGCCACCTGTATAAAACCAGTTTGCAGCGTGAGCTTTAACCCTGTAGTCTCTTCATCTCCGGGAGTGTTCACGGTGTAGCTATGACAGGTGGTCAGATCTATAATATCTGAGTGTTTTCCTGTGCACACACACAGGGCAAAGCTTTACTAAGGACTTCCACAGGGACATAGATGAGGGAAGCGATTGCTAGGGCAGCCTGGTTTGGGTGTACAAAGCGCTCGCATCTTGTTGTAGGAGGGCTGGGTGGCCGATGAAAGGATCTGCTGAGCTGAAGCCGGTGGGAGTGCCGCGCTGAGTCACGTTCTCTGGTTGCTCCCGCAGGTGAGAAGCCCTACCACTGCAACTGGGAAGGCTGCACCTGGAAGTTCGCCCGCTCCGACGAGCTCACCCGTCACTATCGCAAGCACACCGGGCACCGGCCCTTCCAGTGCCACCTCTGCGACAGGGCCTTCTCCAGGTCAGACCACCTGGCTTTGCACATGAAGCGGCACATGTAGCCCCCAGGGACTCTGACCTGCCCACAGTGGACGTTAATTTAACTGCTCAGGTGCAGAAGCGTTAAAAACTTGTAGCTGGTACTACGGAGGGAAGCACCGAGGCTCCAGCCATGGAAGCTGAGGAGGGTTTGACACAAGGAGACTTAGCCAGTCATCTCCTGCAGAGAACTTGACCGGACTATCAGTGAACCTGCCCATCCCGGCCAGGAGAACAGGGGTTATTTATGCAGCTTCTGTGAAGGGTAAACTCCGTAAGACTCCATACAGATTGTATAGAAGAAGCTGTAAATATGTTTTGTTGTTTGGTTGTTTGTTTTGTTTTTTTTTTCCCCCCAATTCTAACTGCCCAGTCCTAAGCTTTACAAGACAATGTTTGTATGGAAACTGCCTGAAGTTGACCCTAGAAGAGATTAAATGAATGTTACTGTAGCTAATGATGTTATTTTAGATCTCAGTTGAAGGCATGGCTAAGAGAACACTCCTATTGTTAGACTGTTTGTTTCACAGGTGCAATAATATTATTGTTTGCCATGATCTACACTAGAAGTACAGGGCTTGATGTCTTGTAAGAAAATAACCTATTTTACTGTAATTTTTTTATATATTGTAAATAATTTTATACAATGAGAAATATTGTATATGTAAATAGAAGACAAATGGGTATTTTGCCTATTTCTGTTTTTATAAAAACGTAATTTTTCAATGTTTGAAGAAAACATTTCATCTTTTTAATAAAATAAGTTTTAATTGCTGTGATTTTGATTCTCCTTTGAGATCTCCCTGTTCTTCTTTTTCCCCTGATGGCTGCACCAACCACCACCTGGTTCTGTTTGAAATGACCAATGACTGTAAGAAGACTTAAAAAAATCTGAGCTATGGATTTTTCTAAAATAGATAATAAAGTATGTAATTAATTCTCAGCAGAGAGCAAGAAACAATACAGGGCTTGATCAAAAAATCAACTGGGAAAGTAGATCACATTCAAAATATACTTCCTAAAAATGGTTAAGTAAGCAACACTGTAATTTCAGTCTCATTTCTAGTTTATGCTAGACTATTTTAATAGCATCCTTAATGTTTTCCAGATGCAGTTACAGTTTTGCCAGCAGTGTGTGGGTTTTTACTATAAATTTAAACACTGCATTTTTGTAATTACGGAGGCTTATTTTAAGGCATTCTTGTACATAAATTATCCTTGCTCTCAGGAGCTCTGTGCAGAATTCCAATAGAACAGTAGTGGAATTTAAGCATAAATTCACAACACAGGTTGAAAGACCTTCATAACTCAGTCCCAAAACCTTAAATTGGCTGAATAATTTAGAATCCCACCTAGATTTCAGGAGCTAAGGGAGATATTGACTATTTGGAAGGAAAACAAGTTAGCCAGGAATCTAGATGCTGAAAACTAATTTGAAATAAACTGGATATTGCAACAAGAAAAATAGAGGGGCCCCCCAAACCCTCTCACAGCTGTAAATTAGATCATAAATCCATGTAGTATGTCTATGCAATTACCTTGAAACTGATGAGGATCCTGTTTTTACAGCTACAGTTTAGTGGGGAGCTTTGATATTTCTAGAACAAAATCACTGTTAATTAAGTATGCAGACTCAGCTTAATATTGGAGCATTTTTCCTCAGCATCTGGATGCTTGGAACTTGGTTTTAATCAAGGTTGTGACATTTTTCTGACTTCACAAGTTAGAATACACAAGGCTGAAATCAACAGGAATACATTTAAAGTAACTACAAATATAGCTGTTCTTCTGTGAAAGCAAAGCCTGCAGTTGTTCATGTGGAACAGATATATTTTGGGCTTCTAATCATTGACATGGAAGAATGAGTTCCACATTTCACTTTTATAGCTCTTTCAAAGTGAAATATAAGAAAGATTTAACATTTCTTCATTAAAAACAAAACTCATCTATTTGCTAGAAAAAAAAAACAAACACAACATAAAAATAAATTAAATTGCACAATTTAATTCCAGAAAGTGAGGATGACTTAAAGATGTTCTAAAATTAGCACATTCATTGTTGCAACAGTTCTAGGTATTTCCTTCTCTTTCCTCATAGCTGAAGATTTCCATATTTCGCAGCATGTCCCTTGGTGTTTATAACACCATTTTTTAAATCAATCCTTACCCTCACCTTTCCAGAGTCACCTGGCTTTCCCCTGCTCTTGCTGAAAGGCAGGCAAAGTTTTTAAGTCATCCCCAGGTTTCTGTGAGTGCCATCTTAAACTGTTCCCTCTTTTGCAACATCATTAGGGCAGACCCAGAGGTCTCACATCTCACTGCAGGGGGGTCACCCCTGGGTGTCCAGCCCCACGTTTGGCTCAGGACAGTCCCCAGGGGAGAGCTTGGAAGCTTCTCTGGTTCTGCTCGTCCCCAGCCATCTCTGGTGACCTGTATTAGGGGCAGGGTTACTGGGTGAGGTGGCCCTTGATCTGGCCTCTTCTGTGTCCTCCCAGATTGGAAGGCAGCTGCAGCCAGGGGATGGCACCAAGCACTGTGTGCAAGCACAAGTGCTGCCCTGTGCCTGTGAGCAGAGAGAGTGTTGCTGCATTCACCAACCCTTCCAAAACCACTTGTGTGGCTCCTCCAGCACCCACCACAGTGGCATGGGTGCTCCTCTGCCAGCACCTCTGCACATCAACACCCAACCTTCCCTTTGCTCCTATGAATAGTCTACCTGTGGGGGTCACAACCTCTGCTCCTGCTCACTGAAAGGTCTTCAGATGAGACACTTCTCACAGAGATTATCTGCATGACACCATGTTACCAAACGAGGTACCAATCATGATGACTGGTGGAGACATGTTCTGCTGGGTGCTCCTCACTAGGCAAAAATGACCAGGTTGGATCCTCTGGGCTTTTAGATTTGTTGTGACTCAACTGAAAAAAGGGCAAAACCATCCTTATCTAGAAATATAAAGAAAACATGTCATAGAAGTCTCCGAAAGTGGGGAGAGACAGGGGGGCCAAAACACTCATGACCAACTTTATGTTAATTATTTAAGGGAGGGCACAGATAATAATTTCTGTGCGGTCTTTACAGGAAACTTCAGGTTCTTGAATCTTGAGATAATCTTGTAGCAGAAAGAAAGAGATGCTGATCTCATTCTTCTCACATTCTATTATGAGTAATTGTCAACTCTCGTTTTTCTTTTTTTTTTTTTTTTTTTTTTTTTTTTTTTTTTTTTTTTTTTTTTTTTTTTTTTTTTTTTTTTCTTTTAATGGGTATAAATTAGTATATCCAAAGATGTGCCAATGTGATCCCACAAATCTACCAAGCCTCTCCTGGCCAGCAGGAAATCACTAATGCTCTGCAACATCTAATAATAGATCATCAGGTCTTCATCTTTGAAGTACTTTTGTTCTAATGAACAGAAAAGACCCAGAATCCCAGATGCCTCCTCAGGAGCAGGCAGCAAAGACCTGCCCTGTCCATCTGCAGCTCCTGGATTTGAGTTTGACACACTAGGGAAGGGGAAAAAAAAAAAAAGCAACAAAAAGAAGCTGCAGTTAAACCCGACGGGAGGAAATGTAGAGTCTGTTGTAAACAAGATTTTCACACATATTCTTATAAGATACCACAGTGATGGGGTCACTATACTTGCAAGATAGATTGCCAGATTAGATAGGAAGCATGTTAAGAACAGAAATGACCAAATCCTGCACAATGTTCCTGGTGAAGGTTTCAGCAAATATTTCTGCACTCAAAACACCGTCCAGAGGAGTGACTGTTTCAAGTCAGTTCATCCCACCCCGGGTTTCAGAGGGTTCCACCAAGCTGAAAACGGTCTTTCTCTCACCTGCTGACTTCAGAAGAGTCAGTTAAATCTGTGCGAGATGGGAACTCAGCTGCAGAAAACACCGAGGCTGTTGCTGCTGAAACGCACCCAGAGCAGCACCCGTCCTGTCCTGCCGCCCCAAGGGGCCATCCCTTGGCACCTTCCAGCTCTGGAGGGAGACACAGCACCCTGAGAGCAGCCCAGCACCACACCAGCACCCTGAGAGCAGCCCAGCACCACATCAGCACGCTGTGGGCAGGGGCAAGGCACTTTCATAGCCAGCAGGTCAAGGGAGGTGATTCTTCCCCTCTATTCTGTTTTTGTGAGACCCCACTTGGAGCACTGGGTCCAGTTCTGGGGTCCTCAACATCAGAAAGACATGGAGCTCATGGAGAAAGTCCAGAGGAGGCCACAGAGATGATCCAAGGGCTGGAGCAGCTCTGCTCTGGAGACAGGCTGGGAGAGTTGGGGTGTTCAGCCTGGAGAAGAGAAGGCTCCAGGGAGACCTTAGAGCAGCTTCCAGGGCCTGAAGGGGCTCCAGGAAAGCTGGGGAGGGACTTGGGACAAGGGCAGGGAGGGAGAGGACAAGGGGGGATGGATTAAAACTGGGAGAGGGGAGATTTAGGTGAGACATGAGGAGGAAATTCTTTGTTGTGAGGGTGGTGAGAGCCTGGCCCAGGTTGCCCAGGGAAGCTGTGGCTGCCCCATCCCTGGCAGTGTTGAAGGGCAGGTTGGATGGGGCTTGGAGCAGCCTGGGCTGGTGGGAGGTGTCCCTGCTCATGCAGGGGGGTTGGGAGTGAAAGACCTTTAAAGTCTCTCCAACCCAAAACATTCTATGATTCTATGATTAATTTTTCCATCCCTCAAGTGAAAGACTGGACTAGGAACCAGGCTTTTCTGGACATCTATTTTAGATTTGCAGTTCTGTGGATGACCATGGCTGGGGGAGTTTAAGCCACTGCTCACCTTGTGCAGGAATGGGGGATTTCAGCCTCTGCAAGTCCTTGGTTACTTGCAACCATTTACAAACTGCCCAAAAACATTGACTAGTTCTAAGCCTTGATCCTCCATCCATAAGAAGTGCCAAGAAAAGTTTGCCCATTCTTCAAATTATAGGATTGTGCGGTTCTGTGGTTTTCTGTGGTAGAAACTCTGTGGTTTCTAAAGCTATTTTGTGCACCTACAACACAGACTAGCTGTTAGGCTTTTCTTAAATTGAATTTTCAAAGCCAAAATCCCAAGCTCTAGCAATTTCTTTTACTATATTTAAATAAAGCAACTACAACAAAGTCATGTAGCCATTGCTATGGTAACTA